CCTGGTCCCATCAAGTTCGAATCAATTCAGACCTGTATCTCAGACAATCCTGGTCAATCAAGCCAAATCTATTCAGACAATCCTGGTCCGATCAAGTTCAAATCTATTCAGACCTGTTTCTCAGACAATCCTGGTCCCATCAAGTTCAAATCTATTCAGACCTGTATCTCAGACAATCCTGGTCCCATCAAGTTCAAATCTATTTAGACCTGTTTCTCAGACAATCCTGGTCCCATCAAGTTCAAATCTATTCAGACCTGTATCTCAGACAATCCTGGTCCCATCAAGTTCAAATTTGACACATGTATCTTGTCATACACGTGCACATGCATTTATTTCATGATCTAATTGAAGAAGGCTTAAGAGCTAAAAATTCATCAAAATCAAGCGTTTTCTTAATTATGAATCTGATCAAAGCTGTAAATGAACTTCATTCATTCATTCATTACATTTAACATTGTGGGATCTTAATGTACGTCATTTTGTTCTACAGAGCAACTTCAAAATGACATTTTATTTCAATGAATGCTGTTCTGGTGCAATATCTGTAACATGCCAAGGCCGATTTCATTCTAATTTCATTCGGTACAAAAAACATCAGGGATTCAAAATAGCAGACTGAACAAATTGTTGTCACAATCCTCCCATTACATAACTATGTGTACAATTTCTATACTTCATATCATTTTTGTTTATCATTACATGATGGGGCTTTTATACCTAGTCAAATGTTGTTGATCAAAATATTACCTGGTAGATGTGAAGGATGTACATACAAAGTAGAGTTTAAATTTATTTTGGGTAGCTCAAAATCTGTTTTTCTCTTCAGATGGTGATGTAGGTGTTTTCAAAGACACATCTGTAAAACTAAATGAATAAACATCTCTGTATCTTCATTGGCTAAATCAGAAAAATCTGAAATGTGAGATTTTTAGATCATAGCTGTGAGACTTAAAGTGAGAAGCTAAAAGGCTTGGGCTTAAAATGTTGGACACTTGGCAACTCATCAGTGTCACTATGTAAAATACTGTGCAACATTAGTTATGTACACATAAACGAATTGATACATTTGTAGAAATTTTATTCATGGTAATAACATTTTTAATATAAGTTATATCTGTCATTTTTTGGGGTTTTCGCAAACTTTGAAAAGTATACTTTTTTCTCTCAAAATGTGCATCTCTAAACCAGCCTCGTTCTCCCTGGTTCCAAGCCACAGTTTATAGGCTTTGCGATTGCACAGTTATGGAAAGCAACCCTGTGAATGATGAATATGTGAATAAAGTTTGAAGGTGGATCATATTTACATTACGCTATTGACCTATTTAATGGGTCTAGCTGGTCATGTTAGTTTAAAGTTTTAGTGCAGTAGCTATATAATTTTCATCCCTTGATAGTCTTGTGAACATACACATGTACTGTGACATGACCTTGGACCTGTTGTGTTTAAAATACATAAGAAATATGTGTGTCAAGATTGAAGTCACTGGCTATTTCCTCTTATAGTTGTAGTGGGAAAATACATTACACATACCTTGGCCTTTGACTTTTTGTGCCAGAAATGTTACCAGGGCATGCATGTTATGTGTTGGAAGCGTGATCCAGGCTAGAGACTCAAGTTATTCCCCTATAATAGTTCAATAAGGTACTGCCATATTATAAAAATATAAACATGCATACACAAGATTTGAACTTTTCAACATGGCAAAGTGCCTTGCCAATACAAGTAAATTTTGCACCTCCGTGTGCCACAGACACCAACCCAAAATGTCAACTACTAACATCTTGATGAACATGCCCTTGCAGTGGCTAGATAAACAAGTGTTTGTCAATTTCATAACATCACAGACAATTCTCCTTTGGGACAAAGCAGTGAGAAACATCTAATAAAGTACAGGCTGATTACATACATATAGACACAAGATTCCAACTCATGGCCAATGCAAAGTGCCATGCCAATGTAAGTAGACGTAATTTTTAGCTCCGCTGTCGACTTTGTCGAGCGGAGCTTATCATATGAGTGATTGTCCGTCGTCCGTCGTCGTCGTCCGTGTCAATGTTTTACTTTTTCGAATTCTTCTTGAAAACTACAAGCCTAAATGCTTTGATACTTGGTATATATGTACCTTTGGTAGACCTCTCTTAGGTTTGTTCATTTCATGTTGATATCTTTAATTCTCTAATTTTGGTGAATATTTTTGTCATTTTTGGTAAAAACTGATATTTTCGACTTCTTGTTAAAA